AACGTTCCTCGTCCAAATCACAGCAGACCATTGGCCTTGGATGGTCTCAGGGGGGGATTCAAATTACGTGGAAACTATTGGTCCAAACCCTGGTGATTAAGGTAGGTCAGTGTCTTATTCAAATTCTTGTCTGGGATATATTTTGAGATGAGGTCTAAAGTAGTACCAACACTGCAGGAAGGAGGATGGAGATGTTGGAAGTAGAAAATCTGGATAGAAATATTTTCATCACTGTATAAGATGATAGAGAGTTGTAAAAGCTGAGATCTGTTATATGTCTTGCAGAGTCTAAAAAGTCACTTTTAAATGTCCAAACCAGACATCTGTTTCAAATTGTTTAAATTCCAGCATGAAGGTATTTTTTTCTTATCAAAACAATATGTACACAAGGATCCTGTGTATATTTTATGTAAGTTTTATCCCAGAACTATTAATGTTTTGTGGTGAAAAAAAAGGCGCAATGCATCACATTTCTGAAGTAGAATTAATTTAAATTCCTCTAGGAGAGTATTTCATTGTATAATATTATGCTGTGGTTTGGCGACAAGAGAAATCTGGTTCAGCTACTGTTGGAGTGATTTAAATCACCTTGCAGGATATTTAAATTAGGATTTTGTATTTTTTGCACCTGTCCGTGTGACGAGTTGATCAATAGATATTGTCACGGTTATCAACATTCCTCAAGGTGTGACAGGAAACGTCAGCTACAGAAAATACCTCCTGGAGGAGGCTCAGGTGTCCCGTACTGTCCGGCCGAGTTTGAATTTTCTGTTGGAGAAACATTACAACATTGGTCAGGTCTGAGCTATTGATGGACATATATATTTATCTGCTGACCAGGGGTCAGTTTTGGCATTGATACCGGTCAGTCTCAGCTTGGACAAGTTCAGTAGTATCAGTGAAGTGTTTTTTCTACTATACATTCCTGGAATGTATACGGATATCGCCAACAATTTGGATTATTTAGCCGACTCATTTTCTGTGCCAAAGTTATTGTTTATTCACAAAGTCTAGTCAAGATGTCCTGACTTATCTTCACCTGTAAATGCCTGTGTTTTAACTGTATCGTGTACATATGACACAACACGTGAAATTTGTGGCGATGTTACAACTATCAGGACGATTAAAATCGGTGAATAAATACGATGTTACCAAAGATTTGTAACTGTTGTCTCCGTCCTGTGAAATTCCACACCTGTACACCTAAAAATAAGGTTTGTAAAAATATTATCACACTGTTTCAGTTGTAAAAAAATTGTTGGAGATTTTCTTTTTTCAAATATTTCTGGAAATTAGATAGACAGTACAAGGAAACTATTTAAGAAGCTTAAACATGGTTAAAGATTTGAGTATATATCATGAAAAATACTACTGTATACACTATTTTAAAATTCATTGACCAAAATATTGATGTAGACATAATTGAAATATTATTGACCAAAATATTACTGTTAACATTATTGAATTATTGACCAAAATATAACTATATACGTTAATGTTATATTATTGACAGATAAACATTTTCCGACAATTTCTAACTTCTGGTCTGTATACTTAGTGTTAATTGCATGTTGCAAGGGAGATAACTCTGACAGTGGTATCGGAGAAATTTGGTCGGTTTCCCAGAGGCACAGGCACTTGGAAAAACTGATTACTTTCTGTTATTTATTTATTTCAGTAGGCACTGATTGTTATAATTTAAACTGAAATAATCCAGGTGCCTGTGCCTGAAGACTTTATTTATTGCCTCTGTCATATAATAAACTGTATGATAATTGGCGACATAAATAACCCAGAGCCACATTTACGTCTGCTTTCCATTAATACACAGACAGGTATAGATAAGATATGCCACATATAAAGGTCAGGGGTCAAAAACCTGTGAATAAAAGTCAGGGGTCACAAACCCATGTATACAGGTCAGGGGTCACAAACCTGTGCATAAAGGTCGGGGGTCACAAACCTGTGCATAATGGTCAGTGGGTCACACACCTGTGCATAAAGGTCAGGGGTCACAAACTTGTACATAAAGGTCAGGGGTCACTAAACTTTATCGAGCTGCTTCTTAGAGATATTACCAGGCATAATGCAATACCAGTTACCCTTTCACCCCAATGTAACTTTAGTAGACTCTACCATGCATTGATCTGGATGAGTCCATTATGGTCTACAGTGGTGAAAGGATTAAAGCTTACAAGTTATAAAAAATGTTTTCTTCCTTTCGTCCTGTCAATGTCTGTCTGTCTGTCTCTCTGTTTCTGTCTCTTTAAGAACATTTCCCATTCCTGTTTATAATTTTTTAGCCCACCTACAAACATCTAATATCAGCTGAGATGTGAGGGAATAATGATTTTGTCTTTGGCTGCCCAGGTATACCAAATAGTTAGATACGGTATAAATGTCGCGCAGTCAAGCTGACCCCTGGAGCCAAACCTACCCACACACCCAAGTAACAGATTTCTGATTCTCTAACGGTAACAGTGGACATTCAGTTAATGATCCTTTATTATGATGTTGTACTGACTGAACTGGGTCACACTTATATATTATCATGATTCAAAGTTAAGGGTGTATGCTGTCTGACACATTCTACTTGAGATTTGTGTGGGAGTTATCTCCCTTCATTATATTTAGATAAGTTTGTTTGAAAAAAAATCATTATCAGTGGTTTATCAAATGCTACATGATTATAGACTTTTCATCATCAAAGTGGATTTGTTTGTTATTGAAGAACTCTTTTGGATTGGAGTTTTAGGAACGTTTTGTAGCATACAGCCTTAATTAGAATTGTATGTGAAGTATATACTGGTATACAACCTTCTAACATACCAGAGTAAGTGACAGGTCACAGGGTTACTGTCATCTGTATCTTTTAAATGTTTTTAAACACGTCAGAAAGTGTCTAAGAATAGGACATCACTGCTGTCTTATCTCCTAAACATATACCATACGATATGGTGTAACGGAATGTCTAGGTAAACTGGATAGGTACAGGTACAGGTAGATATACTAGGTACGGTTACCTGTAAGTAGAACTCGTTACTGAAGTGTGGGAGGCGAGTTATTAGAAGTTTCGATGTCAATTGTGTGTTGGTGCTGGATTATACTGCCGATCAAAGGTATTCCCTACACTTAACATAAATCTATAAAGTTATTTGACTGACCCGGTGATCTCTGTGCCCTCAAAGTAGGGTCACATCTTCAAAATGATTTACAAGTAATATCAGGGTTAATTTTTGTGTGCTTGAAAACTAAATTTCACTTCAACTATGTAGCCAACAGAATTATAAGTAGATTTTTTCTTCTGAACATGATTGCAGAATACATTTTTGACATTTTCCCCTTTAATAAAATCTGCGGTTTCGTGGAACTACGCCAGACTCACTTTTCACCTTGTGGACAATCTACTGAATCAACAGGTTGTAGAAACACATCATGGCCATCGGCCAAGCTAGCATTCGCTACAAATTCCATTACTGCATTAATATTGATTCAAAGTAATTTGGTGGTAATCTTGTATTTCTGTGCGTTTTTAACCGTGCTGTGCCTGTTGTGAAATAGTTCAGTTATTGTTATAAATTAGCATTTTAATGTGTTACTAATGAAATTGGATCTGATTCGGACAGACCCGATAAAGGCTTAGCTCCTTACTGAGCCAGGGCTCTGTATTGCTGGTCTGTCCCCTGAATCAGGACCCCTAGGGAGTTAAAGACAGTTGATAACAGTTTAGGTATGTACCCAAGCCCCCTATCACTGGATCAGTATTTACTTCATCACTCTGCCAAGTCCTCCCGCAGGGCTCATCTTTGTCCCCTTTTTGTCCAGTGACCACCAACTATTTGACCAAGGGTCAGTGTTTATGGTCATCTGATGACCACAGACACACTCTGTCAAACCATCACAAAGGGCCTACTCGAAATACTGAGTTTTGATTGGTCCATTGTTTGGCGAACAATGGGGATTGCTCCCATTACTGCCTCCTGATTGGTCCAAATGGTTCTATTTTTATCTGTCCTTGGGAATTTCTCTGGAATGCCATTCATTTTGGACCCTGTTCAACTTTGTTATGGTGGTTTGTGTGGCCTTCACTCAAATACGGACTATGTTGGATTTCTGCCTCTACACATGTTCCTCCTCGACTTGGGGACTTTGTACACAGTACACCTTGAGTTGCCTCAACTTTCTACCACCATTATTTCTGAGGAGTTGCTTATTACCATCGTTTAGGCTCATGGCTCCCAAGAGTTTGTAATATTTTGTATAAAATGCTGAAAGGTGAACCTTTCAATTAAGAATAACAGGAGTTTAGTTCAAAGCAGATAATTATTGTTAAATTAACTCATTCACCCCTGAAATTTCACAATGAACTGTTCCAACCTTTGAATAGGAAGAGTTCAAATGTGTCTTCAGGGGTGAATGAGTTAACATAATAATACTACAACAGAAATGTTGATCAGGGTTTGGGATTTCATATCTCGAGTATAAGTCTGCAGGTAGATTCAATAAAATTTGACCACAATACTAAATATTGAGAAAGTGACCACTCCTGATCTAAAATCTGCCAGCCTCACGTGTTGGTCTGGTGGATACACCTGTTGAATGACAGGCCCCTGTCTCTAGAATATTTCATTCATAAAAATATAGAAATTGTCTTATTTTGATCTCCTGGATGTTTAACTTAAGGGAGATAAGATAGTAAAAGAATCTAGCTGGAAAATGAGACTTTAATAGTCTTGATCTCATGGATGTTTAGATGTTTTGACTCATTAACCCCTGAAATTCCATAATGAACTATTCCAACCTTTGAATTGGAAGAGTTCAAATGTGTCTTCAGGGGTGAATGAATTAACTAGACAGGGGATAAGGTAGTAAGAAGAATTGCAGCTGGAATATTCTGTACATAAAGCAGTATCCAGTCTCATGATGAAAGTTGAGGGCGTTCAGGTGGTGCAGTCCATACTTCACAGATTGCCGTCTGCAGTCAGAGTATATCACACAGCCTTGTAGCACACTGCCTCAGAGCTGTAGGGACCACTGAGAAGACGGAGAGGGCTGTGTGTGTTTCGGATGATGGAGAGATAGGCGGACTGAAAAGAGCCTTTTTGACGCAGCAGGAAAAGGAAAGAATAGGACACAAATCTGAACACGGATCAAAGTAACAAACTTTCAACTTTCTTTCCATCCTGAGAAGAAACGGAAAGGATAAGATTTTCTTTCAATATCCAACCAGCAACTTTTGTGAAATTGAATTGTAAGAAAAAGGAATAATACTTTCTTGCAATTGGAAGTAAAAAAGGCAAACACATCTTTCAGTCAACATTTCATTGGATTGAGAAAGAAAGGTTTAGATAAACAATCTCTTTCTCTCCAGTTGAGAAGGATTTATAACGTAACGTCTTTCTCTTGTAAACAATAACTTGTCTACTATACTCTCCATCCTAGAGAAGTACGTTTCACCGACTGAACTGTCGAGGAATTTAGTTATCACTGCGGGAACTTGAAGATTGACAAAAACAACAAAGCTTTTACGAAAGGTCCATGAAGAACTCATGCGTTGACCTAAATCTATTATCGTCCCTTGTGATAACGGAAAAAGAAAATACCGATAATTTCTTGTGGAGATATATTTTACGTGTGTGAATTTAAATTTCGTTAGAATATTTAAGGAAACGGCAACAAAAAAATGTTGGTGGAAGTTATTTATAGGTGTGATGACATCACAGACAAATTTTGCAGAGCACTTTGATGTATCACACGACAGATTCCAATTAACCAATCAAATTCCTTGAATTTATCTTTTTTTTTTCGTTTTTGAACAAAATTGAATATTTACACACAACTTTTGAGAATGGAAGTGGACTTTTACACTATTTCTGCTGTGGTTTACACCGTCATCTGATATTGTAGTGTTTACACTGATTTTGGTGTAAAGTGAGAACATTAATTTCTATACCAGTGTAATAGTTTACACCAAGTTTCGACATCTTGACAAGAAACATGAAGCTTCCAAGTAACTTGTTCCGGCAGATCTGCAAGGTAAGGTCAAGGTCATCGCTACAAGTATGTTAGGCAAGGTCAAGGTCGTCAGACAAGGTCAAAGTCTTCGCAAAAGTTCTGTAAGGAGCTGAAGGTCAAGATATTTTCAAGAATAATTTTGATTATAATTGAATTGTAAAGAATTATGATGCAGATCAAAGGAAGTGAACTGATCAAATTTACATATTTATTTAAAAAGGTTGCATTCTGTGCTCAATATTTGCTGGGATGATATTTAAGGCAAGGAAATCAAAATTGTGTCTCGATAAATCAATTCGCAAATAGGATCATTTGTTTTTTCGAAATACAAGCTCCTGAGAGCTTTTGTTTATTCTTCAACATATTCTACGTGAAATTAAGCTTCTTGTATCTTGTAGGGTGTGTTTGAAGCTCTGTTTTGAATTAATTGATCTAAATATATACAGCATATATTGTAGACCTAGATATTTTTACCCAATCAAAAATTTGCCCTTTACAATGCATTATGTTGTTATAACTCAGAAATGCCCGCTTGACAACTGGCCCCTTCTCCTAATTCCTTACCTGTTGTTGTAAGTAGATGGAGACAGAAATGACCTGTTTGACCAAGCTGTTCCTCCTGTCAGTCCCCCTCCCCACGTGTTGTTATTGGAGCTGACAGACCAAGCTGTTCCTCCTGTTAGTCCCCCTCCCCGCATGTTATTATTGGAGCTGACAGACCAAGCTCTAATGTCATGTTATAAAACAATACTGTTTGACATCAAGTGAAAAACCTGAAAATATTACAAAAATTAATTAATTTCGTCAGTGTGACACTGGAAACACTGAAATGTCATTTCAGTGTGATTGTTTTCATTTCCCTCCAATTTTCATTTATTCCAAAAAATGTAAATTTTGTTAACCAACTGTAGTTTCCTTGGATTGAACATTTTAGATATTGCAGTGTTATTGTTCTAAGATTTTTTCTCAATCCCGACTGGAGAGGAAATTCTTCCCGAGTTCCAGATCATATTAAAATAAGAAATAATGAGTGTATTGATACCGGAGGTTTAGTTTTCAGTTTAGAGATTGACCTGTAATCTTGCATGAAAAAAATATTGTGGTGGGAATTAATTGTTCAATAATTTTTAACTGTCTGTTTCTTTAACTGAATACAGCTTGTCTTTTTTGTGATGACTAATATTTCCACAAATATTTCAAAATTAAAAGTGGGTGCATTTGGACAACCATATGATAAAAATACTGAATTTATGGTCCTTCCTCGAAGCACCTTCCTTAGATAGGAAGTTTTCAGTAGACTATATATACACAGTGTATTAGATAGGAAGTTTTCAGTAGACTATATACACAGTGTATTAGATAGGAAGTTTTCAGTAGACTATATACACAGTGCATTAGATAGGATGTTTTCAGTAGACTATATACACAGTGTATTAGATAGGAAGTTTTCAGTAGACTATATACACAGTGTATTAGATAGGAAGTTTTCAGTAGACTATATACACATTGTATTGATGGCCCCCAAACCTGTCTACTGTTTAGCATGTAATTGCTTTAAATTACAATACTATTATAAAAATAGAAAGCTTGAATCACGTACCATGCCCGAGTAAATGATATTTAAAAGAAATGAGGCTAGGTAAAAATAACGCTGATACAATGTAACTGTCTGCTCGACAACCGCATTGTTAACGGGAAACGTGAGCTGTGTTTTATCTTCACAAAACGTTTGTAAATGTAATGGGGGGCATGATAATCTGTCTGAGGGAGAAATTGGCTGTTTATAGACACTGCCCATTCCTTACATACATGAACATACATACATTCTATTAGAAAGTAAGGCTATTTGTTATTGTGGTAAGAAAAGCTCTTCTGAGGCCATGTTTCTTTGTCTTAAAAAACGATTCAAAATTAAAAAAAAATTGTTGATGATGTATGTTGTGGGCACAGGGGTTAGGGTTCAAATTTTTGACCCTATGACCACTCAGACACTTGACCAATTTGTCCTAATTGATCTGGTCAACTTACCTTAACCGAGTCACCCCTTTAAAAAATATAAACTTTATTTATTTTACAACAATTTCGACACCTTTGAACTCTTCCAATTCAAAGGTTGGAATAGTTCATTATGAAATTTCAGGGGTGAATGAGTTTAAGACCCTAAACAAATAAATTGTTTACTTTTCACTATTTTTGCAGTATTTTGGTAGCATGGATCAAGGTTATAGAAAATAGCATGTAAACCATTAAGGAATTTATAATATTTCTTGGAGCATTCCAACACATTGTGTTGTAACAGACACAGGCTGATAGCCTCCTTACCAAGTAAACTTGTTTTCCCTGATTTGCCTTCAGATAGAAACATAGTGATGTATTTGTGTTCTCAAACATTTTGTTACCCAGGAATGTTAAGGTGTTATGTGTAACCTACAAAACAGGAATCAGTAGATTAACCCAGGATAAGGGGAGATCACCCTAATCCTGTTAAACGGTGATCAATAAAGACTGGTTTTAGCCACCAAACCTGTCTTACGTAAACACTCTTAGGAACTGCTGGATTAGTGTTAGCAAATGCTGTTTTCTTTTCAAAAAGATTTTAAACAAACAAGAAAGAATTAGCAGGAAATATGTAAGATTTGCATTTTAAATCTTGGCATTGTATACATATCCCAAAGTGATACTACTGTTTTGTCATTAACTGTGTAAGATAAATATAAATCTCAGATTAGATATTGTAATTGTCTGTTTTTCTCATTGACTGTGTGAAATATTAATCTCAGATTAGATATTTAAATGTCAAGAATAAGACCAAAAAGGTATTTTATCATTCATTTTCAGGATTTAAATACAAGCCTTTCGTTGTTAGCACTTATACCTGAGTACTAGGGCTGTGATCTTCTTAGTCTTATCTAATATTTTATAAATGAAAAAATAGAAAAATTATTACTGGCATCTTCATTAGATTGTATTTATACATTTATATCATAAATAGACTGTGTTTAAATCCTTGCCTACGACTAGGTGTTGACGTTAAATGTTTAAACAACGATCTTTGACACATTGAGTCGCCTCAGTGACATAAATACACTGTCAATAGTGTGTTCTTAAGATCCTCTTAACGGCAAATTGAGGAAATCAATCACGTCGACAAAACTGACATTTACGAGGTTGTGTTTATTTCTCAAAGTGATTCTGACGAGGGAAATGTATAAAAATTAAACAAAAGATTTGTTATTCACCTTTTTACATGGAAAACCTGTAACAATTTTAAATTACACAAATATTATGTAAAACAAACTGTTTTCACTTTTCCTTATATTCCATAATCTTCTTTTTCGGCTAATTTTTAGCAAGCACAAATGGTGTCTTTTTGTGTAACTTTTGTTTATAAACTATCTACAAAATAAAAATGTAATGCCTTTCCATCTTTCTAACATTTTAAGAGCCATACACAGACACCAAAACAAGAATTACTCTAGATTGAGTTGCAATAAAAGTTGGAAAACTACCCAAGAGAAATTGTTTGATTTTAAATTTTCAAGCAATTACAATTTTTGACAGACATTAATTATTACTCTTGATTTCAAAATTTTCACAGTCTCTAAAACTTCCCTTGAAATTATAAACAACTTAATATATTACGTTTTTGTAAACTACCCAATGAAGTAGTTTATTTATTCCAGAAAGTCTTTTCTTAATATTTGACATGCAATTAAATTACCTGGAATATAACTCAAGTTGACATTTTGCATTTGTATCAAAGGTGAAGGATGTTTATTTTACAATACAGATTTATTAACTAACTTGTCAGAGAAGGATGTTTTCTTTGTGAATATTTCTGTATATTTTGTCAGGGAGGTGTTTTCTTTGTAATAAATTGTAATAGAATCAGTGAACTTTCTACTCGAGACGGTCTGTGCTTGGTACTCGCGACCAAACATCTGTACTCTCATATAACGATACAAGATTAACCTTCGCTAATGTTGTTAAGGTAATTGGATTAATATCCTCAGCGTTCAGACAGGCTGAGTATGAATATTATCACATTCTGTCCCAATAAACACGTCTCATTTATTTCAATTTGCACCTGAATTTCTTTGATGTTTCTAATTAACAAACACGGTGACCTAAGCCGTTTGTTCTAGAACCTAAATCTGAAATCAAAACAGGAATATATTTATTATTAGTTATGTGGTTTACTGTCTGGACACTTTCCTCTCCTACACCTTCCTTCTCTTTGATCTCGGTAATTACCTGTAATCAGCTGCACAGGTAATGTCTGGGGTCAGGAAACCGGTGTGTTATGGTACCTGTGGTGGCAGGATTCACACCTGGATTTTACAGATTTACAGGTAAATCCCCTTCTACACTTGTACTGGTCGCCCTGACCTGACTTGTGGTTCGTACCTGAGCTGGTCATTTTCACACCTTGCTAAGTTAGACAGGTAAATCTCATTACCTGGACATTTCCGCACCAATGCATGTCTGTATCAGATTTTGCAAGTGTTACGATTCGAGATTTGAGATAAGGTCAAACTGTTTGAATTGGTCAGTAGTCTGACTTTTGACCTACAACTGAAGGCCATGAAATAAAAAAATAAAAAAAATCTGAACCTCGATCACGTTAGAAAATTAACAAAAAATGAAGCAAAATAATATTAATATAGTGTTTTAAGTTTAGTCGCTGAAAAAGTTAACTGTTTGAAGGTAAAATGTTTCACGTTGCAAATTTGTTTTAAAGATATATAATCATTGAAGTGAAACACTGACGAGATGAGCACAAAAGCCTGTACTTTTTGTACAAGTATTGTTAGCAAAAATATGTTATATACATCATAACTTAATACCAAATTAAAGGAAACATTCTTCACCATAAACGTAATATTTTGTATCAGATTATACATCAAATACAGTTTTGTCCCAATGTTTTTGTTTCACTTAATGATGTAATGAAATGAAATAAATCTTATTTTGGAAATGTATACAGCTATCAATCAATACTATCGGATACTACAATGGAG